TGTTCATAACCACAACATTTTAACCTGTTCAGCCCTGAGCCTGCTTTTCAGGTTTCAGGCTCGAAAATGACATTCCCAGAACAAAGGACCATATCTTCTAAAAGGGTTAAATTAATAATCTTTGTTCTCAAAGTAATGATAAACCTTTGAGTTGGATGTAGAAAAGTCAGAACAATATAGATGTTTTTTATTTTAAATAAAATTCAGATTGAACATGGTAAAAAACTGTAAATGATACTGTCCGTCCAAATATTATTTTGTACTTATAGTGAAAACTACCCTTGGATGATGGGTTAGTAGACTAAACGCTTTAGGAATCCAAAGTACAACTTAAAACAAGTACCCTGTATCGGGATTGATGCAAAACAAGTGAAATCTGACCTTTTTAGAGAGATATAGCAACAAAAAAACACTTCTGGGGTCGTTTGGGTGGATTTTCCATATCTCTGGCCCCCCTTTGTCAATTTTGCTGATTGACATCTCTTTCTGACCGTTAGAGCCAATATAATCGAAGGGGAATCTCCCCACTCACACACACATGGTAAAACAAAAAGGTGGGGGCTTCGTGCACAAGGTTTTGCATGAGAGTGAAGCTATCTCTAGCTCTGACATTTGGAAACGGAAAAGCAGGTTTATTGCTCATGGATGATCAGAAATCATTCAAAGGGACACATTGGATTAACCTATGGATTAACTTCAGCAGCGTTGTTATCGTTTTAATGCCATTGAAGACCACTTTTGACCAGACTACCACACAGGTGAGCCATGTTAGCGTTTTTAGCTACCTAGCGCCACATGTTTTGATGTCTGTTTTTGTTTATAAAGTCGCGAGTTCGTGTCATTGAGTGATAATGTCTGTACCCATCGATTCTGTGTCATCTCAAGATCAGATCGATGGGTTAGATGTGCAGAAAAGATAAATAATAAGGTTTTGTGAGTGAATTTCGGTGCAGTAATCTGTTAGCATTTTTCGCTCGTTGCTAATTCAGAGGCTCAGCGTTAGCATTGTGGGGTTTTTTAAAAAAAAAGAAAGAAAAAAAAGATCAGTTAGATGAGTTTCTTCCCGTTACATGGATATAAAACATTCATAGTTTATTAAATGAACATGCCCTCAGACACTGTTTCCTGCAAGATATTGCGGGAGGGCGGTGCCGGGGTCTCTCGGGCTTAAGAGGTTAAATGATTTAAATGTGGAAACTGGGGTTATTCATAAGAATTCCGTATGACTTGACTTGTGACTTGTTTGACCTGAGCAATGACTTGACTTGACTGACTCTCACCACAGTGACTTGGGACTCTCACACACACACACACACACACACACACACACACACACACACACACACACACACACACACACACACACACACACACACACACACACACACACACACACACACACACACACCACACACACACACACACACACACACACACACACACACACACACACACACACACACACACACACACACAGTCTCCGGTGTCAGTGGCGTTGCCATAGTTGACCCCACCCCTGCGTTACCATGGCAGTAGCACCTGTTGCCGGTCATCAGACTGAACCTCCGGTGTGTGTTACCATCACTACGATGACCTGGCTCATTACACACACCCAAACCCACCCCCCCACACACCCCCCCCCACACACACACACACACACACACACACACACACACACACACACACACACACACACACACACACACACACACACACACACACACACACACACACACACACACACACACACACACACACACACACACACACACACACACACCTTTAACTTCTTATCTCCTCCTCTATTCTCCTCATCTCCTTTTCTTATCTCCTCTTTTTATCTCCTTATGGATCAGTCCCATCGCTCTGAGGTACTGGATCAGTCCCATGGCTCTGAGCTACTGGATCTGTCCCATGGCTCTGAGGTACTGGATCAGTCCCATGGCTCTGAGGTACTGGATCAGTCCCATGGCTCTGAGGTACTGGATCAGTCCCATGGCTCTGAGGTACTGGATCTGTCCCATCGCTCTGAGGTACTGGATCAGTCCCATGGCTCTGAGGTACTGGATCAGTCCCATGGCTCTGAGGTACTGGATCAGTCCCATGGCTCTGAGGTACTGGATCAGTCCCATGGCTCTGAGGTACTGGATCAGTCCCATGGCTCTGAGGTACTGGATCTGTCCCATCGCTCTGAGGTACTGGATCAGTCCCATCGCTCTGAGGTACTGGATCAGTCCCATGGCTCTGAGGTACTGGATCTGTCCCATGGCTCTGAGGTACTGGATCAGTCCCATCGCTCTGAGGTAGTGGATCAGTCCCATCGTTCTGAGGTACTGAATCAGTCCCATCGCTCTGAGGTACTGGATCAGTCCCATCGCTCTGAGGTACTGGATCAGTCCCATGGCTCTGAGGTACTGGATCAGTCCCATCGCTCTGAGGTACTGGATCAGTCCCATGGCTCTAAGGTACTGGATCAGTCCCATCGCTCTGAGGTACTGGATCTGTCCCATCGCTCTGAGGTACTGGATCAGTCCCATCGCTCTGAGGTACTGGATCAGTCCCATGGCTCTGAAGTACTGGATCTGTCCCATGGCTCTGAGGTACTGGATCTGTCCCATGGCTCTGAGGTACTGGATCAGTCCCATCGCTCTGAGGTACTGGATCAGTCCCATGGCTCTGAGGTACTGGATCTGTCCCATCGTTCTGAGGTACTGGATCAGTCCCATCGTTCTGAGGTACTGGATCAGTCCCATCGCTCTGAGGTACTGGATCAGTCCCATCGCTCTGAGGTACTGGATCTGTCCCATGGCTCTGAGGTACTGGATCTGTCCCATGGCTCTGAGGTACTGGATCAGTCCCATCGTTCTGAGGTACTGGATCAGTCCCATCGCTCTGAGGTACTGGATCAGTCCCGTCGCTCTGAGGTACTGGATCAGTCCCATCGCTCTGAGTTACTGGATCAGTCTCATCACTCTGAGTTACTGGTACTGGATCAGTCCCATCACTCTGAGTTACTGGATCAGTCTCATCGCTCTGAGTTACTGGATCAGTCCCATCGCTCTGAGTTACTGGATCAGTCCCATCGCTCTGAGTTACTGGATCAGTCCCGTCGCTCTGAGGTACTGGATCAGTCCCATCGCTCTGAGTTACTGGATCAGTCTCATCACTCTGAGTTACTGGTACTGGATCAGTCCCATCGCTCTGAGGTACTGGATCAGTCCCATCGCTCTGAGTTACTGGATCAGTCTCATCGCTCTGAGTTACTGGATCAGTCCCATCGCTCTGAGGTACTGCCAGAGATAGAACGAGCCAAAGACTTTGACCCTGGATGGGGTCCAGCTTCCTGTGGCCTGGATCCTCTGTAGGATGTTGATGCATCCTATTTTGGTCACATACAAACAAACACACACTCACACCCACTCCTGAAGAACTTCTCTGAGTGATCCTCGCGTGTAGAGAAGTGGTGAGATAACTTTACCAGGAAATAATCAAGACAATCACTCACTGACTGTCTGTAGGATGGCATAGTGAAAACATGAGGTCAGAGAAATGGAGCAGTTTAACTGTGTACAGAGCACTGACCCTCCCCATCACACCAGTCAGACCCTCCCCCGTCACACCTGTCAGACCCTCCCCCATCACGCCTCTCAGACCCTCCCCCATCCCACCTCTTAGACCCTCCCAATCATACCTGTCAGACCCTCCCCCATCACGCCTGTCAGATCATCCCCCATCATGCCTGTCAGACCATCCCCCATCACACCTGTCAGACCCTCCCCCATCACACCTGTCAGACCCTCCCCCATCACACCTGTCAGACCATCCACCATCACACCTGTCAGACCATCCCCCATCACACCTGTCAGACCCTCCCCCATCACACCTGTCAGACCCTCACCCATCACACCTGTCAGACCCTCCCCCATCACACCTGTCAGGCCCTCCCCATCACACCTGTCAGACCCTCCCCCATCACACCTGTCAGACCATCCCCCATTACACCTGTCAGACCCTCCCCCATCACACCTGTCAGACCATCCCCCATCACACCTGTCAGACCCTCACACCTGTCAGACCCTCCCCCATCACACCTGTCAGACCCTCCCCCAACACACCTGCATTTATGTTTGAAATGCTCCTGCAATAAAAAAATAGCCCAATTTAGGATCAATAAAGTATATTTTATCTTTATCTGAGACCGACCGCCCTGCACCTGACGCACGGGAACAGGTACACGAGATCCAGAGGAGGAGCCATGCTCTTCCTGTCCAGCACTGCACCTTCAGATGGTCCATACCCAGGAACCGTAGTACCATTCAATACCACCACACACCATTACTAACCATCATACATCATTATTAACGGGAGGCGTGTGGTGCAGTGGGTTGTGCATAGGTGTTGGGGTCAGGAGGTCACAGGTTCAAACCCCACTGCAGTCAGCATGTCGTTGTGTCCCTGAGACACTTGACCCCAAAGTGCTCCTGTGGGGATTGCCCACAGTATTGAGTAATAAGTCACTTTGGATAAAAGCGTCTAACATGTGACATGTAATTAACCATTAATAAAGCTATACCATTGTTAACCATCAATGATTACAACATAACAGTGACAACACCCTAGAACACACCATGAACACGCACTAACCCTAACCTTGAACACACACTAACATGAGAAACATTGAACACCCACCATGATCTTACACACACAGCAGTTAATTGTATTGAAACATCTGCACACAATTAATGACTACATACACTAGCTCGTCCTATAGATAGGATATACAAACCAACTGTACGCACACACAACATATTCAACAAATCAAATACATGATATAAAACACACATACTTATCTTAAAACACACACATACATATGTATCTATATATCTATATACATACATACATATACATTGTGTGTATATATATATATCTATATATATAGATATATATATACACACAAACAGACTACAGAAACATTTATAATGATAGGAAACAAGTCTTACTGAGATCAGCAGCTGCTGGTCTGTCCCCTGCTTCAAACTGAAGGTGTGTGTGTGTGTATGTGTGTGTGTGAGTGTGTGTGAGTCTGTGTGAATGAGTGTGTGTCCATCACTTACATGTGGTGCAGCCTCTTGTATTTCTGATAAGAGGCGCCACACTGACTCTCAAACACACTGCTGTAGTTTTAGTCACAGGACAAACACACTAACACAGACACACACACACACACACACACACACACTCGCTGCTCTGTCTACATGCGCTGCTCACATGTTTCTCCACTTCCTGTTTCTCTGTGGACTGTTCCTGCTGTGGCCAGTCTCTATGCTAAGCTAACTGTTTAGCCCCGATGCCAACTGCATTCCTCTTTTGCTCAGACAGGTGTCCGTCACACACACACACACACACACACGCACACACACACACACACACACACACACACAGCTGTTATCAGTGTTTCTCGTTCCAGCAGAGTGTGATGTTGTGTCACACTGATAGAGAAGAGTATTCCTCCTTTCAATGTACACACCATATGTGTGTGTGTGTGTGTGTGTGTGTGTGTGTGTGTGTGTGCAACTGTAGACTCCTGAATGTTGTTGGACGCCAGCAGAGACGTCAGGCATTTCCTCTCTCTGTCAGCTCTCTACGCTCAAATAAAACGATGTGTGTGTTATGCTCTCTGATTAAAACAGAAACTCAGTGACACTTTAGTTGAGAAGTTTCTCAGTAGACAAACTCTAGCTCCAGTAAGACATGCTGCCAGAAACACAAAAACGGATATCTGTGTGTGTGTGTGTGTGTGTGTGTGTGTGTGTGGGTGTGTGTGTGTGTGTGTGTTTGTGTGATGCTCTGCTTTTATTTCTCCTGAATATGAAGCGACAGCAAACATATCTTGTGTTGCTCGGCCGTCCTGTGACTACATAAACCGCTCGGCCAACTGAAGCAGAGTTCTTCTTGTTCCTCCTGTGTGTGTGTGTGTTTGTGAGTTTGTGTGTGTGTGTGTGTTTGTGTGTGTGAGAGTGAGAGTGTGTGTGTGTGAGAGTGTGTGTGTTTGTGAGTGTGTGTATGTGAGAGTGTGAGTGTGAGTGTGAGTGTGTGTGTGTGTGTGTGTGTGTGTGTGTGTGTGTGTGTGTGTGTGTGTGTGTGTGTGTGTGTGTGCAGTAGAGAGGAAGCAGAGACTGAGGAATGGAGAGCACCCAGATCAGCACTGAATGCAGTGTGGGTTGTTCTGCTAACATCGACTGTAAAAAATAAAGCTCACAGAGCTGTTAGCGATAAGGGACTTCTCTCCCTGATGGGGGAACAGAGTATAGTGAGAAGCTCAGAGAGACGCTGTGACACTGACTTCCTTCAGACTTTAGAAGAGATTTAAACATGGAAAACTTTAAATAAAGTTTAACTTGTTTACTGCTGCAGCTCTTAGCTTATTAATGCTTTTGTGAAAGGAGTAGAAAATGTTGAAACATGTCTAAACAGCTATCAGAGATCTGTGAAAATCCTCCAACATCAAAGCTCTCCTGCAGTGTGTCTGCAGTGTGTCTGCAGTGTGTCTGCAGCTTGTCTGCAGCGTGTCTGCAGTGTGTCTGCAGCTTGTCTGCAGTGTGTCTGCAGCTTGTCTGCAGTGTGTCTGCAGCGTGTCTGCAGCGTGTCTGCAGTGTGTCTGGTGATCCAGTTCGGGGGGTAAATGAGAGCAGACGGGGGTAAATGAGAGTAGTCGGGGGTAGAGGAGAGCAGACAGGGTTAGATGAGAGCAGACGGGGGTAGATGAGAGCAGACGGGGGTAGATGAGAGCAGACAGGGGTAGTGGAGAGCAGACGGGGGTAGAGGAGAGCAGACAGGGTTATATGAGAGCAGACGGGGTTATATGAGAGCAGACGGGGTTAGATGAGAGCAGACGGGTTAGATGAGAGCAGACGGGGGTAGTGGAGAGCAGACGGGGGTAGAGGAGAGCAGACGGGGGGTAGTGGAGAGCAGACGGGGGTAGAGGAGAGCAGACGGGGTTATATGAGAGCAGACGGGGTTATATGAGAGCAGACGGGGTTATATGAGAGCAGACGGGGTTATATGAGAGCAGACGGGGTTAGATGAGAGCAGACGGGTTAGATGAGAGCAGACGGGTTAGATGAGAGCAGACAGGGGTAGAGTAGAGCAGACGGGGGTAGAGGAGAGCAGACGGGGGTAGAGGAGAGCAGACGGGGTTAGAGGAGAGCAGACGGGGGTAGATGACAGCAGACGGAGGTATATGAGAGCAGACGGGGTTATATGAGAGCAGACAGGGTTATATGAGAGCAGACAGGGTTATATGAGAGCAGACGGGGTAGATGAGACTAGATGGGGGTAGATGAGAGCAGACGGGGTTATATGAGAGCAGACGGGGGTAGATGAGAGCAGATGGGGTTATATGAGAGCAGACAGGGTTAGATGAGAGCAGACGGGTTAGATGAGAGCAGACGGGGGTAGAGGAGAGCAGACGGGGGTAGAGGAGAGCAGACGGGGTTAGAGGAGAGCAGACGGGGGTAGATGACAGCAGACGGAGGTAGAGGAGAGCAGACGGGGTTATATGAGAGCAGACGGGGTTATATGAGAGCAGACGGGGTTATATGAGAGCAGACGGGGTTATATGAGAGCAGACGGGGTAGATGAGACTAGATGGGGGTAGATGAGAGCAGACAGGGTTATATGAGAGCAGACGGGGGTAGATGAGAGCAGATGGGGTAGATGAGAGTAGACGCGGTTAAATGAAAGCAGACAGGGTTAGATGAGAGCTGGGTCAAAGGAGACATGTTAAATATATGAACTGTAAAGACAAGATTAATATTGATTCTGATTTCTCTAACCTTCCTCACAACAGCTGGAGCTCTAAATGTGACTTCAGTTATTTTGTTGTTGGTTTGTTTTACTGCTCTTCCTTTGCCCTTTGCTTCCTTGATTCCTTCGCTCCTTGGTTACTTTGCTCCTTGGATCCTTTGCTCCTTGGATCCTTGCTTCCTGAGTTAAATGAGGTTTATCTGGGACCATGTCACCGTTGCCCCCTCAAACATACCGGTGGTAATAAAAATGAAACCAGCTGGGATTGTAAATCATGTCCGTTAACCATTTACACCCAGAACACCTGCTGGAACATGAGGACAGACGTGTGTGTGTGTGTGTGTGTGTGTGTGTGTGTGTGTGTGTGTGTGTGTGTGTGTGTGTGTGTGTGTGTGAATGAATGAAATCCAGTTCAGTGGTGCACCGTCACAGCTATATTTCAGTTTCATACACTCTGTCTGTCTTTAATATTTTAAAAAGTTTAAGGAACGCTGGTTATGATCAGCTGATATAATGCACACTATCAGTTTAACAGCAGTGCAGCAGGTGTTAAACACACACACACTAACACACACACACACACACACACACACACACACACACACACACACACATATTACATGTATGATACAGCACAGTGTAGTATTTGGATGACTTGAATGCTATATTAATACTATGTTATTTACATATATATATATATACATAGTTAATTGTAAAACATGTGATTAGAAATGTTTTGTTAAAATATAGAATTATCATATGCTCTACACACATAGAAACAACGGGTTTCACTGCCCCCCCCCACACAGTTCAGTCTTACCTGCTTATTTAAAAATAAATCCAGCTAACATCACTGTTCTGTGTCCGTCCGGCCGTCCGTCTCTATATCTAAATTCCCGTCTCTTTTGGCCTCGCCTTGCTTCTCCTCTCTGACTGAAACTTGAGAGGTCAGGTAGTGTGTCATATCACACACACACACACACACACACACACCCACACACACACACACACACACACACACACACACACACACACACACACACACACACACACACACACACACACACACACACACACACACACACACACACACACACACACACACACACACACACACACACACACACACACACACACACACACACACAGCTAATATGAACATCTTTGAAGCCCATAGACGTAAACCAATTTTGATAGCAGAATTCTATTTCTTAATTTATAAATTCTTAATACACTTTTTGTCTGAGGTTGGTAAAACTTGATAACAGAACTCTGCTGAGCAAACAAAATACTGTTGCTAAGGAGGATCAATGGATAGAAAGCAAGAGGTTAAAAGATTGAGACGTTGGAGAAATCACCAGAAAAAGACAGACAGGAAGTAAACACTAGAAGGAACAGCATAATATGGTTAGGGTTATTTATCAATTGTAGTGGAGTTTAAAATGTGAATATCTGGCGCTACAAGGTGGGCATCCATATAGGTCCTGGTTTGGGTGATAGCTTAGGCCCCGGCCTATATGTGTGTGACATTTGGGCACCTTGGCGGTCTTACTTGTTACTGAAATTGGACTTTAAAAACTTGAAATCATCATAAGTCGTTCCAACGGGTGGGCATACATACCCAAACATACACACCCAAATGCACAGAATATGTGCATTTCCAGGAGAAGTTCAATGTTAAATGATATCGTGCTAAAAGCCAGGAATTAGTGTTTCAAAGGCGGGGAAAAGTTGTTTAAAATAGTCTGATACCTCCAGGGCGCATCACCGCATTTTACAAGCCAGGGAAGGTGTCTCTTAAACATTGTTTAAATAGTCTGATACCTGGCACTGTATCTACCCCTGGGAACCTTCAAGGTTATATAAATGTTTTATTATTTATTTAATTATCACACGATTTTTACAAAAACAGTATACACAATATACATAATAAACATAATAAAAACATGATTAGCGGGGGCCCGGGGGGCCATATTAGCTGTCTAACTTGTACGGTGCACCGAGGGAAAAAGGCTGAGTCCACGGCCTCTACCCCCACATCAGGAGTATCAACCGGCCCTGAAGAAGAGGTTTCGCTGGTCTCCGCCCCTGAGTTATTCCAGGCGTATTCGCGTAGAACCGGTCTGCAGTGCTTACGTCGTGACACATAAACCTGGCGAGAATTGTCCTGCTTTCTGGATCTTAGTGATGCTTGATATTGTCAGCCAGGGCAGTGCGCAGGATTGTGAAGGTGACAGCTGTTTCTAGCCCAGCATCAGCCCAAGCCCTCTTCAAGTGAGCGTTCAGGTTCCTGGAGGCGTGCTTCCCCGTTGTGAAAAGCCCTCTTTTATCCCCATCCACCTTATGACCCAGCTAAACTCCTTTACTGTAAGCACCAGCTGTGCTTCGCCAAATGTCTTGGCAGTCTTGTGATCCTGCACGTGGATGATGG